GTAGTGCTCATTTCAGGGTCTGTAAGGTTCCATAATTCACAGCCATACTGCAACATTGATGGAATAGTTTTGTTTAAAAAAATTGGCCTTTGTTTCTGGGACCATTTGTAGGTCATTAAAGGAATTTTTCAGTTCCCTGAAGGCAACTCAGCTCACTGACTGCCTCTTGTTTAATTCTAGATCCATTCTTCTGTGCCTAACTATATAGCAATGGACAAACTCTATAAGTTATTCTAACAGTATTTTGTATCGTTTGGGAAGTGGGCATTCTTTAATCATTTGGTTTTTTCAGTGTGGATAGCTATAAAGATACCTTTTAGGAAAATTTACAGTGTTCTGGGGCTTAATATAATCAGCATTAATGTCATCCACAAACTAGAGGACCTCACCATTCTCTTCAATTTGGGCTCTTCACCAGATATCAATTAAGACAGTGGGGGCCACCTTTGGCAATAGTACATCTCCCTCCCTGCCTTATGCCTAACCTGAATTTGTGATCAGAAGGTCTTTTTTTTTTCTTTCAAGATTCCTTGAAACACTTTTTATTTTTAAATGTTTGGATGGGATACGTCTTGTTGGAAGAGAACTTTGAAAAGAATGTTTTGGGCCTTCGTGATGCAAAATGCTATCCACATCCAAAGAAAGAACTATGGAAGTTGAATTGCTATTTTTTTCTCTTCTGTTGAGTTTTGTTTCCTCTTTCTGATGGTTCCTCCTATTGGTTTTAATTTTTATTTACAACATCACTAATGTGAAAATATGTTTAATAGGAATGTAAATGTATAGTCTGTATCAGATTGTGTGCAGTCTTGGGGAGGGTGGTGAGGAGGAAGGGGGAAAAGTTTTAAACTCAAAAGCATATAGAAGTGATTATTGATAAATCAAAATAAATTAATAAAAAGAAAAGAATGTTTTGCTCTAATGAAGCAAATGTTTTTTAATAATCAGGAAATAATCAGTTCAGTCATATTTTATATCTTTCACATCTCTCCTTCAAGTAAGTGATGGAAACTAGATGTGGTCTATTATGTAATATAATTTGTTAAAGCCTGTCTTTGCCATAGAGACACCTTCATGGAGTATGCCCTCAATGCCTATATGTAGGTCATTCTCATAAAAACTCAATGTAAATGGAACATTAGGCATTTTGGTTGGTGATGATTATTCTGAATCACCCCCCCCTCCCCCCTACACCCAATTTTAATAAAGAGAGTCATATAAAGAATTCATGACAGCTGGCATCTGGGCCCCCAGGGAGAGCCATATTGAAGTTTATAGACACTCTGGAAACTGTTATTCTTATCATGCTCTGCTCTGTTTTTTTGCCATTTAACTCCCCTCAATGAGGACCTCTTAACTAGGCTGGACCTTGGAAAGGACACCTAGTCTGTCTGCCAAATGATATCTGAAGCCTTGTCCATGTGGTAGAAGCAGCTTTTCAAAATCCAAGGTCACCTCCATGCTATGGTGAAGCACTGAAATAGAGCTTGGTGGGTATGTCTAGTATCTTTTAAATCATTTCAGACCAGAGTTACCAAAGTTTATGGTTAGACCCTGTAGGAGTCCTTCTTGGGTTCTTTTTTTGTTTGTTTTTGTTTTATTGTTTTTTAAGAAGGGATTTAGTCAAATGATATTGGGCCTTTGTAACAATAGGCATCTAGAGTTTCTCCGTATCGATATAAACTTTACATTTGCCAAATGACCCTTGATGTAACGATTTTTATTACAGCCATACCCTGAAGGAGCAAATAATTCACCGTCCTCACCTCAGCTTAAAAGATGAGACATCTACCTTACAAAGTGAACAAGGGCTTGACTCATCCTTATCGCAACAGAAGAACTGTCAAATTTTTAATTTCTTTGGAAAATTTGGAAACATTATTTTTCACTTTCTCTACAACTCTTACTTAAAAAGTGACTTTCTGGGGCAGCTAGATGGCATAGTGAATACAGAACCAGCCTTGGAGTTCAAATCTGACCTCAGACACTTGACACTCACTAGCTGTGTGACCCTGGGCAAGTCACTTAACCCCTATTGCCTCACACACACCTCCCAAAAAGGTGACTTTCTAAACTCAGTCTACTAAATATTTTTTTAATTTAATTTTTTTCAATGAACAAAAATCAATTTTTGTTCCCCTTCCAATTCTGTGCACAAAATTGGGAGAGGGGAGTGGAAACAAAACCCTCGTGACAAAATAGCAGTCTAGCAAAATAAATTGTTGAATTGGTCACTTCCCAAAAATATGTTTTATTCTGCACTCCAAGTCCATCTAGGGTGGCTGGCATACTTCATCCTTAGTGCTTTGGAATTGGAATTGGTCATTGTGTGGATCAGAGATTTTAAGTTTTTCCAAATCTAGATTTTAATTTTTATCATAGTACTTGGCAAAATCTCTACAGTGTTGACTTTTTTTTTTCTTCCAGGCAGACTTGCTGTAGAATTGTCACAACTATTCCTGTGTGATATTAAATGTTTAATTAACAAATTACATAGCATCAGGTGGTGTGGGTCTTTTGCATTCCCAGAAAAGGGAACCTATTTTTGGGGGGCTGAGCCTCCAGATGAATGGAGTAATTTGTAGTCTGGGATCCGTTGTGCTGGAAGAGAGATTACTGTCTTTTACTTTCTTCCTTGCTGACCTAGTTCAGTCTTGAGAAAGAGGATCAAAACTATTTAAATACAGAAGGAAGAAAAATGAAAATGAGTAAAGGATGAACTGGTAAAGGTAAAATCTAACTTGGCCACCATTCAGAAAGGAGATTGCATGGTCTGTATTTACATTCTAGGTCTTCTAAAACAAAGTTTGGCAAAGATTTTGAAGGGGAAGCTGGGAAGTGAATTTCCTAAGAATTGGTAAAGTGGAACCGTAGCTAAGTACACAAAGAGAGAAGCCCTTTTCTCTTTTTTGAAAAGGATGAGAAACCATAGTTAGGGAATAATTATTACTTGCAAGAATTTTTTTAAGGTTTCAAAGTACCTTCCTTACAAAAAACCCTTTGAGGTTAGTAATGAAGGCATTATTATCCCTGTGTTACTGAGGAGGATTCCAAGACTCAGCAAGAAATGGTTCACCCTCTCACAAAACCAAGTGTTTATTTAAAAGGTTGGCCTCAGGCCTCCTGATGTTGTGTTGGTTATACTATTATCTCCCCTGCATCCTCTTGCTAAGGGCAAAATTAGGAGCCATTTTCTATTTATAGGACCCTAAAAAACCCAATAATCCCAAACCCCTTTTTGTTTTTGTCCCCAAGGTTTATTCATTTCCTGCAGGGCTCATGCCCCTTTTATAGACAGACATCTATCTGTAAAGGACTGTCTTCCAAATGTCCTATCTTCTAAGTCTCAGATGTGGAACCAACTGATTCTTCACAGAGGGAATCAAAGTTTAAGAGATTTGACCGAGTCCTAAGCAGAGTGATCATCAGAGATTGCAGGGCACCCTGGAATGTGGCCACAGGCCTGGAGTGACTTCACATTCTGCTCCTTGCTAAATGGCCTTCCTATGGTGCCTCCTCTGAGGAGGCTTCCTGTCATTTCCCCACTTTGAGTAGCCAAATTAACAGGATGATTATTATTATCATTATCATCATCATCAATTGCATTGGTGGTGGTGTGCTGGGTGCTGCATTCCTCATCTCTTTGCCTTCCTTCCTTCAATTTTCAAGGTTCAAGTAATGAGAGAGGTCTATATTATTTGTATTTTTTTTTGTATATATTGTTTGTACGTTCTGGGACCCCACTGACGATTTTTCTCAAGAATTTAATGTACTCTTTTTTTTTTTGTTCTTGGCATCTTTATTTTTTAATTGTATCACTATATTTTGCTTTTCAAGTCTAAATCTATTCCCCATCCAGGATCATCTTTTAAAAGAAAGAAAAAAGGAGGGGGTGGGGGGAGGGAATGAGCAGTTCAGCAAAACTAAACAACACATTAACCAAATTCAATGGTATAAGGTGTCCTAAAAGTCTTAGTGCTTAAGGTAGTGAGACTTTAAACTACACTAAGATTTTTTGGGACACCCTTGTATATTCCACAGTCATCGTCCCCCTACTTCTGCAAAGAAGGGAGGAAGGTGCGTTCTAAAATTTCTTCTTTGAGGCCAAGATTAATCATTATAATTACATTGCTTTGTATTTTTTTTGTTCTCTGCATTTTCAATTTTTTTAAACTTAAATTTCATTTTACTTTTGAATTGACCCACTCAACTTTCAAGATGTCTGTTCTAGTATTCACCATTTTTTAACTTTTAGAGGCCCCATTTCTCTTAAATATCCCTTTCTCCAAGGAATAGAAGAAAGAGTTGGCAAATATGGGAATTCAAAAATTCCTTTGAACCACTATATGACTCTGGAAAGGAAAGCTAGGGATAGGGAAAAAGAAAAGGGGGGTGGTGTCCTTCCGGTTTCCTATTGTTAGGTGTCTTAATTGGGTGATTCATTGGTCCCCCACGTCTATAGAGCATGCAAGCAAGTGCAGTCAGCTGCTACCTGCTGCCTTCTCACTCTTGTGAGCACTAAATGGCTTTGTGTCACTGAGAGTGTGATATGTTTGCTGCATGCTGATCTAGGTTTCATTCATATTATTAAAGCTATTTATAAACTTGAACCTTGCCCCCTGGGAAAGGGCCTACAGTTCACAACCTCTGCATTTCCATGGTCTGACTAAGCCAGGAGGGGAAAAAAAAAAAGGCATGATTTGCAAATGAATCTTCTAGTCGTGTATGAATTTTTGAGAGGTGTCATTTGCCCTCCCACGTTTAGTTGGTCTAATGTACCATTTCTGCTAATCAAGGAAAGGGCTGACTAATGCTAGAATAATTTAACGATGATTTCAGTGAATGCAACCTTTGAAAGGACAGGGTTTATCTCTCCTATTAGAATGAGGCAAAAAACATCCTGTGTTACATGAGAGCTGTCCAGCTGCTCTGCAGTCCCTCCCACCCCTTCCCCATTCCCATGAACTTGACACTGAAGTATTTTATCTCCCGGCAAGCAGGTGACATGGAGGGAGCCTGGCTTCACTCCTGAAGAGAGTTTCCCAGTGGCGGAAGTGAGTTTGAAATGCTTGCCCCGGCTCTGCCATGAACAAACAGTTACCCGAAGGCAAGATGACCCTGGAGCATAGGAATGTCTGTGTCCTGCTGCCCAACCGAGATCAACTCAGGTTAAGCATTGGGGTGAGTCTTTCCAGTTTTCCTCCACTTGGTTTGGGGCAGGGGCTGAAATAGGCGGTTTGAATTCTGGCAGCCGAAGGGAATGAGACAAAAGGGCAGAAAATGTAATTCCCTTTGTGATGTCGCAAGAAAAGTTAAGCTCCTTAATTGATTGACTATTAGCTTCTCTGGCAATATCTTGGGTTTCCCTTTTGCTGGCTACCCCTGGGAGACACACGGGATTAAAGTTCTCTAATGTATCCTCTGTACTGATCCACTTTGGGGCAGTTTTTAAATTCCTGTCCAGTCTTCAAAATGGTTATCTATTAAAAATAGGGAACGGGGCCACTGACTCGACCCTGAGATGAGGCGATCAGGAGAAATAGAGCTATACAAAAGCACCTGGTCGCCAGTGAAAGCCTGTGCTCCCTGAGGAAAGCAGCACAGGTTTTTGTCACACCTGACATATTTGCTTAGTTTTTGGAGCTATGGTAATCCTCAGAATCTCAGCATTGGAACAGAGTTCAGAGACCGTTGCTTCAAGCCCTTTCAAGAAACTCAGCCTCCTGCCTCCCAAGACAGCCCTTTTTACTTTGGTATAACTGTAATTGGTAATTAGTGTTGGTACTGCCCCATCTATGGCCATATAGAATATCACAGCCTTTAAAACACTATGCCCTGCCCCCACCCCATCCCAAGTCTTCTGTTATTCAGGCTATAAACATCCCCAGTTCCTTCAACTCATCCTCATGGCATGTGTAGGCCACTCATCACACTTCTGACTTCCTCTCGATCAAGAATTCTTAACCTGGGGTTCATGAACTTTCATGGGAAAAAACGTTACATATTTTATTTTTTTCCACTAAAAATATTATTCTGAGCTGTTCAAAAATTTCATTAGACTACCACAAGGGTCTATAACTCCCGATGTTTTTCCCCTCTCCTTTAACTTTTTCTTCCTCCCCATCTTGTACATTATGGCTTGAATTACTTCATTCTGTTCTTTGTGTTTGTTTTGTGTGTCTTTATGGGAGTAACATACCATTTGTGCCCTAGCATTCCAGAGAGGTGGTCTTACAACCATGAGATCCAGCTGCCAAAACTTGGCATTTCTTTTTCCTCCTCCTTGTTCTTCCTGACCCTCAAGCACTATCAGATTCCAGTTCCTATACCTCCAATCAAGTAATCTGGGAGTACCAAAAATCTCTTTATTAGGATCCATTTATAGCTTTTTAGAATTTTATTTGTATTGATAATCTTTGTTTTTATGTCACTTTCATTTATGCCTATAGCCCCGAATGTAGAAATTCATGGTTTCATGTATAATCCCTTTTTGTTCATTGCATCTTGAGATGATCATGTTGATGTTTAAGTTCATAATAAAAATAAGGATTTATTTTTAAAAGTTATGTGAATATTGCTAAGTTCTGTATTATCATTTACACAGCAGTGTTGGATGGTAGATGAGAGCTGGCTTCAAAACCAGCAACATCTGAGATCCAAGCCCCTCCTCCAACATGTACTTGATGAGTGGCCCTGAGTAGGTCAATTAACCCCTCAATGCTCTAGGCCACTCCGTAAAGACAGCATTTCAAAGTGTGGTCCAAGGACTTTTTGGGGGGGGTGGGTCCCGAAGGTCAAAATAATTTCTATAATAACACTAAGATATTTGATTATTAATGTACTCCTCCTTTTCCCAACTATTTGTCTGAAGCCAGATTTTCTTAATATACTTTGACCAAAATAACATATTGCAGCAGATTGAATACAGATGCAGATATGGGAATCCAGCTGTCTTTTATTAAGTCTGACATTAAAGAGATTTGTAAAAATGTATGAAACAATGCTGCCCTTTTCACTATTACTTTTGTTTTGGGAAATTCAGTTATTCATAACATGTTAACATGTAATGGGTTCGTTATTCTTATTTTGAAACAAATTAATAAATATTTTTAAAATATCAGTTTGAATTTCCAGTATGGTAAATATCTATAGATATAGCCTACATTAATAAAAGCTCTTTGGGGTATGACTGTAAAAATTTTAAGAGTATAAAAGGGTCCTGAGACCAAAAGGTTTTAAGATTGGTGCTCAAAATAATTTTCAGAGAAGATGCTGACATGAATTAATAGAGGGAGTTTCCTCACCTGGAAATCACCGTTCCAGTTCCTACTGCTATAAATAAAAGTACATTTTAGATTAAAGGAGTTTTTATAGATTTACCTTGGAGGTTTTTAATCATGTATGAAATTGTTCTTCTGGGAAAACATGTTTCAAGGTCCAATTGACAGACTTTTAAGAATTTTTAGAGAAGCAGCATTGTATCATTGGATAGAAAACTGTCCTCAGAGTCAGGGAGACCTTTAATATATATTGGCTTGGCTGTGTGACTCTGGGCAAATCACCTAGTCTGTCAGGACCCAAGACTGGTGGCTGGTCTGCACTGATAGAGACTGTGGGTTTAGTACTGAGAATTTCCCATCAATGAAATCACAAATCTGTACTCTCCTTCCAAAGTAACTTTTTGACCATAACCTAAAGTTGGTGATTCCCTGTATTTCTTTTCTTTCTGGCTATTTAAATATTGAAGGTGTCTATGTTTGAGTGATAGAGCTATGTTGTTGTTTTTCCTTTCTTATTCCTACTACTTTTCCCCCTCCCATTTGCTGCTACTTCTTCGCCACTCTTCCTTTTTCCCCCCCTTTATGCCCCACAATTCTCTCTCAAAAAATCTAGTTAGTTCTTTGGATGCAGAGTTTCTTGATTAGTGACAGAGAAAAAAAATCCCTCTAACCACATTTTGTTGAATTACAGAGTAGAGTTATAAGTATCCACGGCAGTGAGATGTGTCCCTGTCTCTTTTGGTGGATGGTACAACATCCAAGGTGAACAGAGAATACGGAGTAGTAGAGTTTCCAGTCAGCAGTCAATAAGCATTTGTTGAGGAGATGATTAACACAGGGAAGGCCTCTAGCATTAAGGGCTTTTTGTAGAAGGTAGAATTTTGCCTGGGACTTAAAGGAAGCCAGGAGGCAGAAATAAGGAGGGAGAGCATTTCCAGTATGGGAGACAGCCAGTGAAAGTATCCAGAGCTGGGAAATGGAATGTCTTATTCAAAGAATAGCAAGGAAGCCAGTGTCACTAGATTACAGAATAGATGGCGGGTGGGGTGGGCCCTGGAGTTAGGATCTAAAAAGACTGGAAAGATACAATGGGACCAGGTTGTAAAGAACTTTGAATGTCAAATAGAGGATTTTATATTTCATCATGTAGGTAATAGAGAGTTTACGAATGGGAATGGGGAGGGATGTGTGACATGGTTAGATCTTCACCCTAGGAAGGTTCATTTGACAGTGGAGTGGGTGAAGGGTGTCGTTAAAAGGATGACAAAAGCAAACAGTTAGGTTTTGCAAAAGTAGTTTTGCAGACTCAGACAATTAATAGAGCATTCCTGAGTACCCTGACCTCCCCCACCCCTCCAACCCCCCACTCAGTTGGAAGGATGTCAGAGGAGAAAGACAAGCATCTACCATCTGTGCACCACACATCCAGGTTTTCCTCACATTTACCAGGATTGTTTGGGCTGCAGAATGCAGATTCCTAGCATAATTGACCTTTAACGTTTTAGCTGACCGACCTCATGGTCTCTTACCTACTGATTAAAAGTCAATGCCTAACGTGGCTTCAACACTATAGAGCCAGTAAAGAGCAAAAAAAAAAAAAAAGTTCATATTAAAACATTCCTTACACAGATTTGTACTGGTTTCAGAAACCTCTTTCAAATAGTCCTATTGTTGGGGGAAAAAAAATTTGAGTTGTTTTTCAAGCAAGAGCTTCTTAATTGTCACAGAAGGAACCCTCAGTATTTACCTCAACTCTGAACAATGATTCTCTTTCTAAGAGTAATAACATACCCGACCAGCTTCCCATTTCTAATCCTGATATTTGAGTGTCCCCGACCTAGGTGAAGTTTTCCTTTTTAACTTTGCTTTTCCCATGTGTTAGAATATAGCAGGAAAAGAGAAGCCATTGAATTCCTCTGTGTCATTTAGAGGAGGAAACAATTTCACACCTGAATCTACACAAACCAATTTCAGATTCACTCCTCACTTTCACAACTTTGGCCAAGAAACTGATCTTGCTTTAGAAAAATGGGTCCAGCCAGATCCAAGACAAGAGGTAATCAAGATAGAGAGCTAAAGAAAAATGGGTCCAGCCCGATTTAGGGAGAGGAAGAGGGAGGGGTAGGGTAGCTAGCTGCCTCAGACTTAAGCTTCAGGTAGGTATGACAAGGGATAGTTTCTAATGTTCCTTTAATGAATGCTCGTGCTTGAATGCCAGAGAGTACTATTTATTTCATGAGCCAAGCTAATTCACACATTATAGCAAAGTTTTAAAATTTCCAGTGGATGGTATCACAGACAGCACAACTTTCAAACCTTGCCTAGGGCACACAAATACCTTGTTCTGTCTCCTAGCCCAACGGAAGGTTTACTTAGGAGGAGAAAAGCATGTGTTGGGCAACTGTAGAGGAACAATCCTAATCCCCAATGAAAAGGAAACTTCCTCATCCATCCTAGCTGTATTTAGAGGGTTGGAGTGGGCAAAGAGTCTATAAAATTATTTTGTGTAGGGATGAAATAAATTGGGGGGGGATACCTAATTGAGGGGGAGCAAGGTGTGGTACTCAGACCTCCACCCCAAAAGAAACAAAAAGTAAAGTTTCCTCTTCATGGTCTGGAGATCTTTCCAAACAAATGGCCATGGGGTGATAGCTTTCAAAACGAGAGTAGTTTCAAAAGATTCCGAGCAGTGTCTCCAGGGATGGGTGTTGGCATGAAAGTGGGTCTGAACAGACTTGAAGAGAACTTGGGAGCAGCTTCTTAATTTCTTATCAGTCATTCCGAACTGAACTGTCAGTCTCCATGAGTTTTAACAAGTGGGACTGGTTTTCCTTTGCCAGTGTGTTGTGGTAGAAACAGTGTTGGATGTGGACAGACATAAGTCCAAATACTCTCTGATAC